CCCCGGGAGGAACTGGATGCGCTGCCTTGAACCCTTTGCAAGTCTTCCTCTCCAGCCCTGGTCATGTTTGTTTGGGGGAGGGGGTCCGTTGACTGGTGTCTCTGCCCTGTCTGATCACTTGGGATTTGACAGGGGTTTCTTTCCCCCCCCTTCCCCCCTTTCTCTCCCCCTCTCTGCAGCTTGATGTAGGTCAGACAGCTATTTCCGTCCTCCGGCTCTGGCAGGGACATTAATAATAGATGCCCCTAAAGTGTTTCACTCCTGCTAATTCAGGCGCCTGAATGAACCGAGGCAGGCTCCCTCCAAGGAAAGCTCCCCCTCCCCCTTGCCACCCCCAGCCCAGGGAAATGCTGCCCGGGAGTGGGGGAGAGGAAGCCCCTGGCTGGGCGGGAAGGAAGGGGGCAGCGCAGCCTGGGGTCGTCTGAGGACAAGGCAGGGAGAGGGTGGGTTGTCCCGCAGGGGGGCTGGGAGGGGTCCAGGCCTCACTCCGAGCCGGGCGGCCCCGGGAGGGGCGGGGAGGGAGATTTTCCCTGGGGGGTGGGGGAATGAGAGGCTCCCCCAATTCTCCTGTGTTGCTGCCTGAAGGGAAAAGCGGGCAGGGCTCGGGGCTGGGAAGCCTCTCCTTTGTTTCACAGCTGGCCCAGGGCTGCCCCTCTCCCGGGCTCGCCTCCCTGCTTCAAGTGCACTAAGCACAGGAGACCCGGCAGCTGGAGACGGGGCAGAGGAGACCCGAGCCTCCCAGAAGCCAAAGGGCTCTTCCTCGCCCCGGTCTGGAAAAGGAGCGGGTACAGCCTCAGCTAAAACCCACATCCAGCGCCTGCTCGTGTCTAACCCCTGGGCCAGCCCAGAAACTAGGCAGCAAACTACCTGGACAAAAGCCTCACAGCTTGGGGCGGATTTTCCTCTCCTCGAGGCAGAAACGCGGGGAGAGAGAGAGAGAGAAATGGATGGTTGGATGGATGGGAGAGAGGAAGAGAGATGGATGGATGGATGCCTTGAGCTAGAACAGAGATCTCCCCCAGGCCCTGAGAGCTGGATTGCCACAGACGTGCTAGTCTCGAAGCCAGCCTTGCAGCAAGGTGCCAACGGTTTGCCCCTAGGTCCCTATCTACCTACAAATCCGGGTCAGCTCAACTGGAGCAGGCGGTGGCTAGCCGCCAGGGTGGGAGAGCCCGATGCTGCGTGCCCGCCAGGAAAGAAAGGTGGATGCCCGCGGGGCCGGGCTCCCGGGCCAGGAGACAATCCTTTCCCTGCGATGCAAAGCAGAGGGGTGCCCCGCGAGTTGAGGAGCAGCACCCCAGGCGGCGCGGGCCGGAGGTGATGGCAGCCGGAGCCCCTTTTGGGCAGCGAGCCGTGGTGGGAGTGAAGTCCCTCGCCCTACCCTTAGCGGAGCATCCCGCCCGCTGCCCCGCCGTGGACCAAGCAGCTCCCTCCAGGTGGCTGCAGCCAGCGAATAGCCACGGATGGTAGGGGTCTCCTTTGTCTGCCTAGCTGCCTTTCCCCACCCCGGGGGAAGAGAGGTCACCGTGAAGGCGGCAGGTCCTGCGGAGGCACCCGGCCGGGGGAAGGGGGCACCTACCTTAGCGCAGGGTACTGGAGCCCGGCCGCAGGTGAGCAGTAGACGCTGCAGTGCATTATTATCCCATAGACCAGCAGCGCTAGGATCGCTTTGCTACACATTGCCACTCTGGGGAAAAGAAAGAGCCGTCAGAAAGAAGCGCTCCTGTCGCTTGCCCTGTCCTCCCTAGCTTTGCCCGCCGGGATCGGCCGCCGCCCAGGCTGCAGGTACCCCGGGTGGTCGGGCAGCCCCGGCCTCTCGGCTCCGTGCGCCCGGTCCCTTCCCGCGCCAGCCCCTCCTGCCCGGCCCGCCGCGCATCCTCCCCCGCCTCCTGCCTCCTGCCTCCGCTCCCACTCCGTCTCCTTACCATGAAACTCTTCACACCCGGCACTGAGAGCGTTTGCTGCAAACAGAAAGGGGAGATCGGGGATGAGGGGAGCGGATAAGGAGGAGGAGGAGGAGAAGTGTCTCCCAAGTTTCAGCGGTTAAAACTCTCGCGGCATCGCCTCTCCGCTGGGCAAAACGCGCGGCTGTGCTGGGATCCGCTGGGGGGGGGAGGGGGAGGACAAAAAAAAAAGGGCAAAAAAAAAGTTTGCAGGAAGCAGCACGGAGTCAGCCTGGGGAAGGGGCAGGGGGGAGGGAGGGAAGCGAGCCCGGCAGAGAGGAGCGCTGGGCTGCGGAGGAGAAAGCCAAGGCAGGCGGAGGAGGAGGAGGGAGACAGGCGAGGGCTGTGCCTGGCAGCTGCCTGCGGGAGGCTGATCTCTTCCCCAGGTCTTCCCCTCCACTGAGATGCTTCAGCTTCCGCTTTCTCCTTCTTCTGATCCTTGCTCGGAGGCTCCGAAGTTGGCCAGCCTTCCTCAGCTCGCAATCTAGGCAATGAGCAGCAAACCCCTTGCTTTACCGAGAGCCTTCTTTGTAAACAGCCGCCTGCGTGTTACCTTTAAGGCCGGCACGATAGTGTTTGTTGCCCTGTTGTGGCGTTCGGATTTTTATTCATGAATCAAATGACTTTTTTTTTTTTTTTTTTTTTTGCAGTCACGTAATAATCGGGTATCAGAAAAGACGTCACCACCCAATTCCTCAAGGAACAGAACAATTCTGTGCCTTCCTCACGGATGATCTGATCGGGAGTCATAAGCTTCTCATAAACACGAACTTACACTCCCCCCTCCCCCCCCCCCCCCCCA